AGGCATGCAGTATTATCCCAATAGGAGTTTAAGATGATAAAACAACAACTGAGAAAGAAAGCAGATTGAAACGGTTATATCATCATTAAACTTAGAGCACCCTCGGCTGTCACAGTGTTATTTGTGCTTTGCTGCAAGACTCAAATAAACAATTTTGAAAGTAAATGAATAAAAATTGCACTTTAAGTTAGAGAGGTGTTCATGACCCCAGATGTTATGGATGTAGAAGCTTTCACTAGTTGTCTTAAAATGAGGTGTGTGTGCGTGCAGTACAGACTTAATATTTTTAAAGCCACCTTCCTTTCCCTTCTGTGTAACTTCAGAGCTCATAAAATATGTTTTGTGACGAAGGGACCACCTAAGGCTGTTGGCTATACCTTCACAACACAGTAGTCGGACATAACACTGTTATGATTGTGTTGTGTCAGTCAGAAGCCAGAGGAATCTAGCTGGCATGGCATCAAATGGTGCATCCTTTACAAGCTTTGGTTGGCCAGGGGAAGTGGTGCTGTCACTCTACAGGCAGCCCAGTGGAGGTTCCCTCTTTGTTTCTCTTCATAGAATCACTGAATTGCAGGGGTCGGAAGGGTCCTGTTGAGATCACCACGCCTGCTAAAGCAGGTTCCCTCCAGAAGTTTGCACGGGTAGGTGTCCAGGAAGGTCTTGAATATCTCCAGAGAAGGAGAGTCCACAACCTATCATGGCAAGCCTGTTCTAGTGCTCCATCGCAGTCTCTCCCATACCAGTGAAGTGCTTCCTTCCATTAGTACAGAACTTCCTGTGTTCCAGTTTCTGGAACAAGGCTCGTTGCCCCTTGTTCTACTGGCGCCCATCACCAGAAAGAGTATACCCTCATTAACTTGGCTCCTGCACTTGAGGTATTTCAGTCACCATGGAGAACGCTTCAAGGTTTTTTAGATGTTGCTGCAGTGCATTGAGAAGTATTAGCAGTGCTTGGCAAACCATCTGTTTGTGTTGAAATATTCTTAAACTAAAAACATGTTTCGGTATTCCTCTCAGCCTTGTTCTTAGGTAGGTAATAATGGAGTTGAATCCCCTTGCTCAATTTTGAGGATGTCTTGTCAAATCGTGCATAGAATGGTGTGACTAATTTGTAGGACAGAAGTCCCTGTGCATCAGCTGTTCTCAGTGGTTTTCCTGGGGGTAAGGACTTATTGTGTTGAAAGACACTGATCATTCTTTTCAGCATATCTACTTTTTTTTTTTTTTAAAAAAAAAAAAAAAAGGAACAAATGGCTTTTGTCTGTACTTCCATCATAACTGCATAAATCTCAATGATGCTAATGGGAGATTTAGAAGCATAGATGAAAGACTGTCTCACTGTCAATGAGATATGGAGTAAAACTGAGTAGGACACTGCAGAAGCAGGAGGGTTGCATCCCCATAGGGGCACCCTGCAAGCATCTAGCTCAACCTGCTTAGAATTAACTTTCAGCAGGCAAAACTAATACTCTCCAGAAAGAAGTGCTTAACCAGTGGCAAATTCAGTGGATTGTAAACTTGCTGAACACTGAGCTGTGCTGCTGCCCAGATAGAGAAAAGGGAGTTGAGGCTCTGCATCAGCTCTGCCGCAAGCTCTGCCGTAAGCAGAAGGCATGTGACAGAAGGCATCCAAAAAAATAGTCCAAAAGTACGGAGGATATGAAACTGAGGAGGAATTGATGAGGCTATGCGCTGAGCTAAAGCTTAAACCAGGAGGTTCACCTCAAGGAGTTGCAAGAGGGAGGAGGAAGAGTGTAAAAGGCTCAGGAGGCGAACTTGGAGAATTACTGTAGAGATTAAGAAAGAAAAAAGGAAAAATAGCAAAAAGCATGTTTTCAGAAGTACGTAGAAATACATGATGAAGCAGAAAATTAGTGAGGAGAAACTGAGCTGTAGTGGCTCATCACAAATGGTAACATTATCATTGTGAGCAGAAGGGGAAGGAAGTTCTGAGGGGGTGAACCCTAGGACAAAAGCGTTAACTAGAGTGGTCCGATACCGAACACAATCATTCATTTCAATGTAAGCCACAGTACTGAGGAAGTCAGCAAAACATAGCTTTGTTCCTCTAAAATACTGTGTGAATTCTATCCAAGTTCCGTTGATGAAACACTTGAAAACATAGAAGTTAAAAGCACCAGACATGCCGGCATCAGTAATTGCCTAGATACTATTCAAACATTAGGAGGTTTAATTTTTATATTTTTTTTCACTATTTATAGTATGGGTTGTCTTATTTAGTGGTGTAATATACGGATTGAAAATTCGAAGCTGAGAAATACATGAATAGCTTATACTCAAAGGCTTCTCTGAAAGCAAAAATATGTAAGGTATAACATTCCCCAGGATCCCACCTCTACGTGCAGTTCTTGCACCTCTTTTGCTATCCTAGCTCTACATACTCGACGTGGCTTTTAAACACACGTCAGAAAGGCTGCTACTGTTTTACTTCTCATTTTCATGAGGTTGTGTGATACTACCTTGATTGGCCCATAGTCTCTCGATGACCTGCTAGTGTTATGTTTCTTGACAAACAGCATACTTGGGACTTGTGCTTCTGATAAAGGACTGTGTTACAATCTGATGTACTCTTAAGTCCACAAAGGAGAGTAAAAAAAAAAAAAAAAAAGAAAAAAGGGAGTTATCATTTCATGCTGGAATATTCATAGTAAATAGAAAAATAGAAATCTCGTGATTCTTACTGCCCAAAGGAAGTCCATGAGCAGAAATCCTGAGCACAGTCCAAGAAAGATGAGTTCAGAAGGGCTGAAGAAGTGACGTGTTGAAATGTGTATAATTCTACTTGTATAGAAGCTAGCTAGGCTACAGTAGAAAAGACTGGGTGTGACTAGAAAGTATCCCTGCTGCTCTGATAGGAAAGCAATTGATTGGAACTTCACTGTAAGCAGCTTAGTTTCTCACTGGGTCCACTGAACAAGATAGAAGGTAAATTTCTGAGGGTAATGCAGGTGTGAGCCGTTAAATCAAAATGAATGCTGCTGACTTCAAAGCTGAGGCACCAGCATTGATGAATTCCTTAATAAGTTGATTTATTATCAACTAAAATTATTTTTGTATAGTTGTAATCCTTTCACAAAGGAGCATGTAGCCTTGCTATTTTTGCCTATGTATTTCTTAGTCACTAGTAAAGCAGGACCGAAAAACGTGCGAAAACCATGGAGACATTATTTTGTCAATGCCATGTTGTGACATTTGTGATCTTTTTTTCTTTGCTTACTTAACTGTTTTTTTTTTTTTATTTCGTTATTTCATTTCTGTTCAGTGTGTGTGTTCGTTGTAATGGTAGTATAGTTGGTCTCGTAAGTTATGTAATGTTAACTTGCGAACGCTCCCCTAAGGCACTTAGGAGACCTACAGAGATGCTAGCTATCTAGTCATCATGCTTCCCTTGTCAGCTGCAGAAGGTACTAAGTCTATGCAAGTGCTTGGCATAAGTGAGTTTCATCAGAATGGCTGTGCAGTTTAGCTTTGTTGTCAAAATGCCTACCTGTTGGCTTTCTTTGCTGTTTAAATGCTGTTCTATTTGTTCCTAACTTCCCCTATTTAACAGCAGACAAACCCAGGGAGCACTGAATGACTCGGATGATCCCGAAACAGGCTGTCTAACTGATAACAAGCCAACTTCTCGACACTTCTATCCTGTCGCCTTGCTGCTTGTCAGCTCACACTTGCTGGTTGTGTGGCTTATTTTAAGTCTTGCTTTGCTATTAGCCAAATATCAATAAACTGCACTCATGTTCCTTTCTTTTCTACAAACAACGACAAACTACTTTAGAAAAAATAAATCATGCTGTAATATTTCTACGATTTCAGACCTTAAGGAACCATCTTCAAGATACAAATGTCTGAAATGTACAGTGTTTTCATTAATTTTTCTGAACTCTAAGAAGCATACTATGCATTGAGTGAATTGATTTGCTCTTTCTGTTCATGGTAAAGCTTTCCCACTGTAATTAGCTCAAAGAAAGCCCACTTACAATGCTGTCACTGTGTATACTAAAGATGTGGAATCCTGAATGCTTGAACCCCTTTTTCCAGAGTAACTCGTCTGACAAAATTAAAAATGGATTTGCACAATACAGACTGACCCCCAGACAAATTTTACAGGGCGGTGGTTTGTAAGACTTGCTTTCATTGTATTACTGCTTTATTTTCATTGTTATTATTAGCTGATCGGATCTTATTTGTTCAAGAAATGATTCTTTCTTTGCTACAACTAACCTTTTTCTGTCGAGTAACTAAGTGGAATATAGTAAGTTCTGTTTTGTAGTTAGATTAACATGATTGTTATTGTTGCTTTAGTTGCATTTGCTTTGAAGACTCTTTTATATTCTTTTCTAACAAGTCTGGTTTATGTCTTGATGCACCACTTTGGCACTTGTGACTTTTGTACTGTATGTGAACAAACATCCTTCCTTTATAAAGCAGAGAGTTGGATTGGGCTGTTTGAAAAGCCATTCTCTCTTTTTTTCATTGCAAAGCTTAACATAGGGGAAATGATGCAGAGATGAAACTTTCCATCAGAAATCTGTAGGGCCAGACTTAATAAAATGCCTTATTCCTAGAATATGCATTTTTATGGCAACTTGTAATCTCACATATATACTAATCGATCTGAAAAAAAAAAAAAAAAAAGTATAACATTTAAAAGGGAAATATATTTCTGGAATTAGAATGAAATGTATCATTATTTAATTTTTTATTTTGTATTTTTTTTAACTAAACTTTAAACCTCAAGGGCAAATATATTAGGGGGAAGAAATCTTATCACCTGTTTCTGAGGGCAATAACTGTACTGGGCCTGGCCTTAGATTTAATTTTGTAAGATGTATCATCACTTGTGGAAAACAAAAAATGTAGAGTTGAATCTTTGTTATTTTTACTTCAACTGCTGCTGAAACTCTGCAATGAACAAATAAAGCATATTTATTTATTTTGTGTTTCATGAAGTTGTACTTTTTCCCCCCTTTCACTAGAGAAGGATGCCGCATAGAGAATGTACTGAAGAATGTCAAATGCAGAAAGTATGCATTCAACATGATACAGCTGATGGCTTTCCCAAAGTACTACAGACCTCCAGAAGGGACATATGGAAAAACTGACACCTAAGTTAAACAAAAATGTAATCAGGAACATATACCATGCTAATTAGTGAATATAAAAATTGCTGTTTATGACTTAATAACTTGGAATGTGTAACCAGTTGAGGTGTTATTTTGTGAGGTTTAACATTTTAAAAGTGACAACAGTTAGTCATCATGAAATAAAATATTGGTGATTTGGATATGCTCAAAACCAAATACATTCAACTTATCTTGGTGAACTTGAAGCTTAGCATGACTCATCAACCAGTTGGAATTAGGTCTTGGGAAGGCTTGATCGAAGATTAAAAAGGGAAATGTCATTTGCAATAGGAACTGATGTTATCAGTCTGGAGGGGAGCATTCAGACTCTGAACAGCAGCCTGGAGATGTGAATGAAAGGATCTCTTCCTTCCTGAAATGGTGTTTTCTGGTACGGGCAAAGCACTGAGGTCATGATCAGTAATAATTAAATCCTGCGTGGAATTTTTGATGAAAGATGCAACTCTCAATACTTAGGCTAAATAGAGTTTTGGTCATTATGTTTGTCTTTTTTATATAATCGTGGTAACTTCACAATATATTTTTAGTAATTACTGCCTGTAATTTCAGTAATTGCGTTCTGGTTTGCTGCAGTTCCTTTGGATGTATCTTTCTTGGCTTTCTGTATCTAAGCCAAATACCACTTACTTGACTTAATCTTGCACATGAATCACACTGAAATCAGAGGGATTAATTCTTCAAGTAAAGTAACATATCTAATCTGTCATGTTCCTGTTCACAGCAAACCCTTAAAACTAAATTTTCCTTAGCAATAGGTAAAATGGCTTGTATATGCAGGCATGAATGTGTTGTTAGGCTATGAAAATGTGGCAGCTGGTTTATATGAAATTTGTAATGCTTATTTCTAGGATATTTCCAGCAGTTCTAGGACAAAGAGCAGCAATGAGCTTTTTTGAAGTGAATGGTAGTGCTTCTGCCAGCTTGTGTTAGTCTTGAAATGTGTCCTGCAAAGAACATTTGTGTTTTCTGATTTTCTCTATTCATTGCCTCCTTCTGCCCTCCCCCAGAGAGAAACGCAGTTAACAAAAAACAAGTGCCCACTGTTTACTAACCTTTGTGTGATGCATTTATTAGAGTTCTACGCAAATTAAACTGCATAGGGAATTTGAGTATCTATAGGAAATTGCAGTTGCTATGGATAAAGAGTTAAATGTTTGCTTGCTTCTACAGAAGTCCCAAGAATGATGCATAGTGAATTACAATTTGTTTTCTTTTCATCTATTAAGACCTGTTACTGGGTATAATTCTGTAACTGTACTAGTAAAAATTTCATGCTTAAGCAGCTGGTAGGTTACATAGAAATTATCTGTTGTGAATAGAATTAAACCCCTCTTGTACATTAGCAAGGTGAGGCTTTGGAACATGTAGAAGTATGTCAGGAAGGGATCTTCTTTCCAATGCACTGACTTCAGTGAAGCCAAGAATTTACCTACACAACATTTTCCTAATTGGACCATTTTTTCAGAGTGAAGTAGTTTGTTCAGAAAGGACTTTTGTGCGGTTGTTTTTTATTTATGTACAGTCTCCATTAGAATACTGTTGCACAAATGACTTCTTTGCTCTTCTAGAATGTATTGCATCAACAGTAGATACCAGAAGAGATAGCAGTGCATCGTAGACAGGTGATAATACAGTGCTATGCCTTTTCCTGTCATGTACCAGTGGGCGCTGTTCAGTGGATGTGCAGATAAAGTTGTGTGCATTTAAATATTACACAGCTGGTCTGCACAAAATTTTATTTGCAGGTTTGTGGAGCATAAACCTTCCTAGGAAAGTACTGTTCTGTTCTGTTGGTCTGACTGCTACTCTACACCTCACTTCGTTTCTGCTTGTTTATTGCTAACTTACATAAACAACAGCTATGCAGCTGAGAAATAGTGGTAATTTCTTTAGGTGATAGGAAATAATCCTAGTGATACACAGTAGAAATGCTGGCCTTCCTAAGGTGATTCTGAAACTGCCTGTAAAATTGTAGGCAATGACAGTATTCACTTTTGGGTACTTTTGTTTCTTAGTTCTTTATCTCAGCCCTGTGGGAGTTCTGTCTAATTCAAAATATGAAAAACTATAGGTTTCGTTTTTATTAAGAAAATAGTCTTTCAAGGTCTTACCTCAGCATTTAATCTTGCTGGGTTCCAAATTATTTTGGCTATAATGTTACCTTTTAACTTAAAATGTTTTCATCATTGAAGCTGCGCTTTTGGGGGAAAAAAAAGCCCGACAACCTAACACATTGCAGTTCTTTTTATTGTAACAGGTACACCCAACAAACTTGATTGGGCTTGGGCTATTACAGAAGAGCAGGTTGGGTTTTGTTTTGAGTAAGGCTGAACTTTTTTACACCAGTGTTTTCATTGGAACTTAGTCTTTTTGTAGGTCATTAAGACTATTTTAAAACCCGACACAATTCCAAGTGTCCTGGAAGAGCTTTATTGCTTTTGTGCTGAAGTAGGCTCAACTATTTCTTTGTTTTGTCATTGCCTGCCATGGGTCTGCAGCATTTTATTCAGTCAGAGCCAGTCTCATCAAAACAGGGTTGTCAGTTAATCACGGATTCACAACTTGTGTTTTTCTGGTTTGTCTTTTTTAAAGAAACAAAGATCTTTTTGCTCCAGGCTGACAGTTTAATTGCAGTATATTCGCTCTGTACAGAAGACATTTTAAGTCTTTTGAATGCCCAGCAGAGGAGTTGAATCATCTCCTGAGGTCCATCTTGCATGAATCTTTGTATATTACTGAGTTACACAGCAGTAGAATTCAGCAAATAAATTTTCATTAGGAAGCTACACCGTTTGCACAGAGTTCAGGGAAACGTGCTCATTTAGCAGCATATATATGAGAAGTGTTCCATGTCTGCTTGACTTAAAACAGTTTTTTTCTCTTGGATGATTATAATACTGTTAGAATTAATACAGAACATGTACAGACTTGACATTATTATGCAGGCAGATCTTTTTGCTTCTGAAGTCTTCTTTTGGGGAGTTTTTAATATTTTTTTGTTACAGTTTATACTTTGGCTCTTATGGAGCAATTAGGAAACAAATTTTTAATTGTTACCTGATTTTGCTGATATGTACTTGTGCATTTTAGTGGAATACTGGAAAATATATGTGTTAAGAGGAACAAAATATACGAGAGGACAGCTGAATGAGGCCAACTATTACCTGGGAAAGAGCCTTAATGATGCTAAAAACTAACAAACGTTAGTTTTTGTGCTGTTCAAATTTTGATATTTTTCTCAAAGTAAAATAGGGAAATTAATACTTGGTGTGAAACAATCAGTCTGGATTAAAATTCACTGATTGTAAGTGAACTAATGTGCTATGGTATTTTAAATAATAGCTAAGAATTTAAGTACAAAATGGAATTATATTAATTTGAAGCCCACTGCATATTATGCCTACTTTGACTTCCATAAAGTAAGCCTATTCCTATTTTTATCACAAGTTCCAAGAAATGCTATGGCCGGTTTATGAAGAGCAGCAAATGCGTTTGACAGCAACAGGTATAATATGTAAATTGCATTAAAAAGTGTGCAGCAAAATTACTTGTGTGAATTAATGTTCGTAAGCAATTAACAGACTTAAAACATATATTGTGTGAGTTGGCTGTGTTATAAACTCAAAACAATGATATCTTCATATTTATGCTTTGTTACTGTGAAAAGGAAACGTTTTGTACAGGCAATGCTGTGAGACATGGCTTTGCTTCTTACCTTTCACTCATTTGCAGGTGAAAAGGATATATTTGCATTCAAAATACCTTAACATAATTTACAGCTTTTTAAAACACAGCCTTAGCTTGTAAACTGGGTGTTAAAAAGCAAAAAGTCACAGAGCTGCGTTTGAAAACAAGCAAACCAAAACCAGACTTCAGTCTCTAAAACTTTGAGGTTTTTCCTTAGGTATGCAACCCACGAACTGTTGTGTTGCTAGAGCATTCATTTTAGGCTCTGCAGCACTCAAGTGCTTCTTTCTCTTAGCCTCATCTGAATAAGTAACGTGCCACAACAATAAATTTCAGCATAATACTCACGATTCAAGATGGAAAATTACGATTTTCTCAAAAAAAAATGACTAAGTAGCAATTTAATAATTCAGAATTAAAAACAAAAAAAAAAAAAAAAAAGAAATTTGTGAACCAATGTATCTGTATTCCAAACAGCAGAAGTAGAAATCATGGGGTTCATTTGCTAACAGGGAATGAGTTTTACGATAGAAATCTGAGTGTAATAGTTGAGTGCTCAGAACCTGGGGTTTGCAGTGGTGAGATTTGGGGCAGTGCTGCTTTAACTTGGTTTTCTAACTGCAGATTTCTGTATTCTTTCCATCTGTTGTGCAGAGGGCTTTAAAAGTTTTTAACAATTCTGTTTTGTTTATGAAGGGTCTGGCTTCAAATTTTCTAAAATCCCAAGTTAGTTTGATACTTGTCTTCTTTTGGTGTAGCAGTTCCTTGTAATGTTCATGTCTCACGCTCTCATGTACACGGGGCTCAGTATAACAAATTAACAGGACTTCCATCCAGACTGTGTGTGTGCGTGTGTTCAGAGAAATAAAGCACAACTAAGCAATTCAAATCTTTTTATACGTCAGGATTTAGCATTTTTGTTTCACTGCTGTCTGTAAGCCATGCTCATTGTACACTGTGTGTATATTTTTATTTAAATAAATGTGATATTTATTTTTTATGTTTCTGACTTTTTTGTTACTCATTTTTCATTTTCATGACAGTGTTGTTGCCCAGATGCTGAGTGTGGGTTCCCTCCTAGAATAATTGGAGTAGTCTTGTCACTGTTAGGCGCGCACACTTAAAGAAAGCTCCAGTACAGCACCAAAAAGCCTGAAATGGCCATAAATTGATTATTACCATTATTCCTAGTGTTACTGCAATTTTCATCTCAGAACCTGGTGGATTAAAACCAAACAGAACATTCACACGCTCCCAAAGTAACCCCTTTCACGTAACTACTCACCTGTAGACTATTACTCAATGTAGCTCAGGTGGAATCAACATTTTTCATAATGAAGACCATTACAAAGGTGATTTGGCTGCTCTTTTGGGATGGTGAAGACTATTCCAGACCTTTGGAAAGCTGGATCCTTTGTTGGGATCCAAACTTATTGTGTGATCTGACTGCTCCGTAATAGGTAAGTTCTCACTGAAATGCACTAGAGGTTTTCTTTTGGGAATATAGTAAAGCATTGGCTCACCTTCTTTATCCTATGGTTAGAAGCTTGTAACATCATTTACTTTCTGCATTTATGCCTGTGTATTTAGTTGTTTTATAGTGATAAATTCCTTGAGATGCTAATTACCTGCAAGATTCTTGGTAACCTTTAGAAAGCACCAGGAACTAATGGTTATTGTAGTAGTAAGTTATAAAACAGCTGTTGGCATTCAGCCTTAAAAAAAAAAAATAATCTGTCTCCTACTAAAAAAAGTGACTGTATTTTTAAAAGTACTTCATATTATTACTCATGCTTTCAGATTTTATCTTCTGTGCCAACTAAAACACTGTTTTTTCATGACAATATAACAGAAAAAAAAAACCCACAGAACTCTAATGGGAGTGGAATAGTATGATAGTAAAAATGCATTGTCATCATTTCTCTTTCCAAGGTTTTTGGGGCCATATTTGAGATCTCTGAATCATAGTCTGCCGTGGTCTGCACTGGGGCAGCCAGTGTTGGCACTGATAATTTCTAATGCAATTGCTTCTACTAGTCGAATCACAGAGAGCTCTGCTGTCCGCCTGTGGTAAGTATTCTGTGGATCTCAGCCTTTAGTCATTCATTTAACATTCTGTGAATGTGATTAAGGGCACCAAGGTTCTAGACCGTGGTTTTCTGGCTTTACCCCGGTAAGTTTACATCTTGAGTTTTTGTGTAGGCAAAGAACTGTCCTAAGCCTGTAATTTCATAAGATATATGCTCGCTCTGCTGCGAGAAGTGGAGAAGACAAATTGTTTCTAAATGAACTGGGATAAGAGGTTGAATTTTAAAAGCAGCAATATATATTTTTAATAAGCCTGTGTATATTTATACATATAGTTATATATACACTTCTTTTTTTATAGTGAAAATGTAGAATGGGAAAAGGCAGTAAAATACGATCAGTTAACAACTGAACTTGTTAATATTTCTAGCAGCCAAATATGCTTTTGCTTTTGGAGGTCTTGCACAGATATGCACATCTTTAGCGGGGCTTTTAGGTATGCCTAATGCATATGTTCACTCCAATAGTAGAAGCTACTTTTCATGAAGGATGAAAAGGGAGGGGAAGGTGCCCCTCGTGGCTCTCCCTACGGTGTGTTTCTCAAACTAAATCTACTGTTCCAATCGGGAGCAGTTTGGAAGAGCTCAGGCCTCAACTCTCTGTTCCTCCAAAATGCTGCTGGCATTGCCTGGCATGCTGCAATCAGAAATCTGCTGATGGGCTGTGATGAGGCTCTGTGCAAGTGTGTCTTTGGGGCCTCTAATGAAAAACAAAAGGTGCATCCAAGGGTGATGCAGAAAGGAAAGGAAGGAGTGAATTTTGTCAGTGACAATCACTGCCCAGAAAAGTTTGCCGTAACAGCAGTCTGCATGTGTGAGGCTGTGAGTGTAGCAGCAGAAGATCAAGGGAAAAATACTGCCTTGTCTGTTTCACCTTTCTGCAGCAATGAATGAAAATCTCCATGGGTAACCTTTTTTCATGCAAGAATAATTTGTGGTTGCTGTGATTTATGGAACAAAGAGGCTTAAACTGCTGACTTGAACAAAATTAGAATTGTCATACATATGCACTGATTGCCAGAGCAGAAACCACCCTTTGGGTGGTATATCATTCCTTAGAGATTTTCTGTCAGCGTAAAGCCTAACAGATTTTGAAATAGAGAAAAGTTTAAGATCTGAACCTTAAGTCATCATTCACAAGAGAAAGAACAGAAATGGGGCACTACACTTGAGAAACTAAAACCAAATTTTTAGAGGGGTTTATGAAGCATTCACGTGCCTGGAATTGGGTTCACAAGGGTTGTGTTCTGTTAATTTCAGTACGCGTAAAAGTTGATGGCAGTTTCCTGTAAATTATTAGAATTAATAGTAAACTGATTAACTTATACACCAATGAAAATATATCCCTTCTGTAGACACCATTAAAAAGGCATATATGCAGCAAAACATTAAAATACATATGAATGACTTGAGAGCTGTTTGATAGTAAGACATAGGTTTCTAACTTGCTTTGGCACTTCTCAAAGGAAAAGTGTGTCACCTAACTAACACGTTTTGTTTTCTCTGTTGCTACTTAAATCAGGGTAGGATATGTCAAGGTAGATTCTCAGCACTTTCTATTTGAGTTTAATTACTCTGAGATAGCGGGTTTTAAGGGAACATCTATAGAAGCCCAAGTTAATGAAATGTCATAGTTTGGCTTTTAGCAGTTTTCACACAAGACCAATATATAAGGAAACAACGACGGAGGATGTGTAAGAAAGATGTTCGTGAATTTGGTTATCTGACCTGGTTTTGTTTCTAGATGCAGATTTAAGTCTTTGTGACTAGACTCCAGCAGCCACATTCTGCTGCCTGATTTGTAACATTACAGTACTCTCATCCAGGTTCAGCCTCAGTAATTCCAAAGGAAACTTCTCAATAAATCTCACTCTTGTTACTGCTCTGTTCCACGTATGACTTCTCTGAGTTGTGAAGCAGCCAGCAAGCATCAGTACCCTCCTGCCCCAGTCCCGTATATTGTGCTGTGACACCTGGACTCTGGTAAGTATGGCAACTCTATGGCTAACTGATAATGTGATAAATTTCAGATTTAAAATTATGGGATGTATGTCAAACACTCACCAGCTAAACAGGCATAGCGAAATCAAGGAGCAAAGATATTTCTGACTAGTGAAGAGCAGATGAGGAAGGTCATTTCTTAACCTAAGCTATGCATTTTAGACTGCATTAAATTCATCTTCACCTCAGATATTACTGAAGTTCGGATACTTTATTGCTTTATGACTGTGGTAACAGCTGTAGCAGAAGTACACTACCAGTTTATCAACATAAATATGGAAAATGTCCTTGAATAGATACCAAGATAGTTGAAGAGCAGTGGCTGTCTGGCCAAGCAGGTACCATGCACATACGTTCTTATATAAGCAAAATGATGTTGCAGAAAAATGATGGCATTGCTATGTACACTCTCACAAAAGCAAGGGACCAAGGCAGCACTTAAGCGAGAAGATGAAAAATGAGTGCAAGAACAAATAAAGATCTTTTTTTTTTTTTTAAAAATCTTTTTTCCAGTAGTTTGTAGGCATTGTGTCTCTGGATTTCACAAAGATTAAAAGATCGTTTAGAGGTTAATTGCAAAACCTGACATAAACAGGTAGTACTTTCTTGTTTAGATAATTTAAATGGTTTTTTTACTGTTCCCAAGGAGCTTTGTTGCAAAGCAGACTAATTATCACTCTGAAAGACAACAACAATTAAAAGAAAATAACCTCACAAAATATCAGTAAGTAATATTACACAGGACCTTTAATGGCTACTTCTAGCTCCTTGTGATTCATCACCTCCGCTCTTGAAACAGTTGAAGCAGTTATCGGAAGAATAAATTACTTACAATTCAGTTGTACTTTTTTTAATACCAATAGGGAAAAAGGAAGCAAGCGTTTCAGATGAGTGGAAAACAGCAGCTGTTAGCAGTTTTTTATGTGAATCCAGTTAGGGTACCTAGCCATAAAATGCTGATAAGTGTTGGGGTTGTTATTTTTTTTAAAGGAAAAAAAAAAAAAAAAGAGCGAAGCACCCAATTTCACTCAATTTATATTTATGTATTCATGGACGTTGTTAATGGACGTCAGCAGGGAAGACGTGCTCCCACACTTTCTAAAAATCAACAGGAAAGCAGTGCACAGAATGCAATTCCCTTTTGCATTAAACTTATTAAATCAAATCAATTTTTACGAGCGCATAGGGCAGAGCTCTGGCACTTAATTCCTTTTGATCTTGTGCCTGCTAAATTCCATGTCCCACCCTGCTGCCATGCAGTCTATTTTTAACAGATAATTTGTTTGGACATCATTGAAGAGAAAATACAACAACTTGTAGCAGTAATAAGGCACTAAGCCCCCTGTCAAGTTATTAACTGACTGCATAAACATACGTAAGGAAAAAAAAAAGAGCATAAAGGGAAATTCTAGTCCAAAAAAATAAAATAAAATAAAAAGTGCTCAATTATTCTGTTCAAGAACATGAATCACACTACACACCTGATACTGACTAATGCAAAGTCAGCTGGCAGATAACTTTCACCAGTTTTGGTGCTGAGTGCACCTTCCAGTTTCCATGGCTGTTAAACATCTGTAGAAATAGAGTACTATGAAATGATGGGGTTTTGAAGAGAAGATCTTGTGACTGAGTCAATGGATTTGTCTCATCATCAGAGTGATGCTAATGCAAAATTATGTTTTGCTATGACTAGTGCCCTGAAGGGTGCATTTGCTACTCTTGGATCCTTTTCCCACTTGACTGCTACTTAGATTGGTGCAGAGTATTTTATATACAAGTATTACAAGTATATATATATATATATTTTTACAAGTATATACAAGTATATATATATATTTATATACAAGTAGTGTGCATGTCCAGGACCAGGGTTTTCATGCTGTTTAAATTGTGACGTGATGAGAAAAGATTT